ATATAAATTATGCAAAAATAGAAAAGAGTGAACTTTGAGGTCATGCTGTGCGACTTTGAAAGCCGTTAGAGGGATGAGTGGACGCATTTGAATTAGTAGTATACCAAGGTATCCAGTGATGTAATTTTACCCACAAACGGACTTGAAGTTTTTAAGCTAATTTTTTTTAAACCACTTTTGTCCAAAAAAGCATATTTTTGACCCAAAATCAAAAACGCATTCTGGATATTTAAAATAAAGACAAGTTTTACAAAGTTTGTATAATAAGCTTTCAGAAAATATATAACATTTTGGATATATAATACGATCTTCATTGTCTAATTACTCAATTAAAAAGCAAGCCAAATAAACTGCATCTCTACCTTAATAAACAATGCATCGTAGTATTCTTTTATATTAGTTTGAAGTGTCTTTACAGGGATATTGTCTATACATTTGAGGTATGTATGGGGGTCTAAAAACTAACTCTGCGATGCGATTGTGCAACTCGCCAAATGTCGATTATTGCACTCTGCGACAGGATCGCAGTGTCACACTGCGAAGAGCACGATTCCCATTGGTTGATTGATCGAAAAGCGCGAATCTCGATGGTCGTTCGATGTAAGGGTACACAGCATGTCTTATAGAAATGTTTAGTTTTAAATGGTTATTTCGCCGACTGCTCGCGAACTACGGTAAACAAGTATTTACCGACGACATGCCGCACGGTTCGGTAATCAGCAAGTATTTAACATTGATTAATTAACATATATAACATCCCACGTCGGTGTTGGCTGCCTTATTACGGTGTAACATCAGGGAGCTGGTAACATTAACGCCATCTTGAAGTTGTAAGGCTTCGTCCGCAACAATGCTCATTAGCAAAGGCGGCAGCTTTAAAGCGAGTAGAGCGCGAAGTACGTTTCACACGATGTTACATTATTTTTTTTTCATTAGCAAGTATAATTTGTTATGACTATATTCATCACTTTGAATTCCCAAATAAAGCGTGTAGCGGGTCAAACTGTTTCTAGGCAATCAATCAATATCGTTTTATTAAAAATATTTAGAGGACAAAAACGTAAAGCTATGTGAATGGATTGAAACTACTGCTGAAGATAGAAAACTAAAACAGCAAAGTCAACAGAAAATTAGATGGGTGCACGATTTCTGCATAAACGGAAACGATGGCTTTGTTCATTTGGCCAATGTCGACGAGCAACAGATTTCCTGTACTCACTTCCTCGTCTGATCACCGACCTACAACGGTCTCGCGTATCGGTGTCGTCATTGGTTAAATAGTTGAAACTCTTTCGCGTTGATGCGAATATTTCAGCCTAATCATCCCTTTCGAACCACTCGCGAGGCTGGTCATAATATGACCTAGATGAAAAATTGTGTAAACGAGGGGTGAACGCGAAAGTCCTGTAATTTTATATCGGAATCACAACAGGCTGCAGGCAAGTCTAAATTAGTAAATATGACCATGAGTTGCAGATTTTTCTTTGCCTCGTCTGTCATTGGCGTCTTTGCTTTCTTTCTTTACATCGTCATTGCGTTAGTAAGATGGTGTTATTAAAATAGAATATAGACTTAGAAAATAAAACGATTTCTCAGACGAAGTCTTGACTAATAATAATGCTGACAATGGACGTTAGATTATTACGCATTGTTTGCGACAGGAAGCTTGTCACCCGTTCTATCAGAATCGTCAACAACAGAGTATTACCGATAGTATTAGCGTTCGAGCACTGGTCTTTCCGAAATTTCGAAAAGCTGGTGTCGCACCCATAGTTTTCTCTTGTAAACTTTGGGGCAACAGTCGCTTCCTGTCCCTTGTTGTGAGATTGTGTAAGTTGTTGCCACATTTTTTGTAAGTTTGTATGCTGTGCTCAACCTTGTGTGATAGTGACATCCCCCGTTTTCATGAATGGTCTCGCCCATCATCGGTTGTTTACTTCTAGAACACTGTCATGTGATCATGGCGAACCTCGTAGAAACAGTGGAATCTGTACAAAGTTATTATGAATGATGTGACTCGCGCATAGCAATGGGCTGAGTACGCTTCAACGCTAGATCAGAACTTAGCGAGAGGGACGAACAGCGCAAGAATGAAGACGAACATCGCGAGGAGGAGGAAACAGGAGAAACAGCGCGAGG